GTTTGCTGCCTTCAGGCCTGCTCTTTGCTTCCTGGGATGCAGTTTCAGTCTCCCTGAGTATTCCTTAGAGTAGAAGCAAAGCAGAAGAGCTGCCAGCAATCTCCAGTCTAAGGAAAACTTGCTTGTGATCCCACTGCTATTTTAGCATTACTGACACTTAAGCACCAGCATGTTTGTAAGTCCTTTGAACCAAGCTGGGACCAGGTGAATTTGTGTGTTAACGCATCAGGGTGAGGCGACACATATGAAGGAGAGACAACTCTTTCGAATGTCAGTCTACCACCCGAACCATTAAGCTGTCCCTCCGCCTTTCTGTACCTATTTTGCATGATCAGTGCTGGAAGGACCATTATGGCACAGGAGGTACACAGACTTACTGTGAAATCAGAATCAGAAGTCTTCTAATGCACTCCTACGTTCCTGAAAACAATCAGAACCCAAACTGCTATTTTTGTTAAGATTGCGCAACGGGAAAAAAGTTTCTGACAGTTTTTTTTGCATTTCTCCATTGTAGAAGACTGGTTTGTTTTGCAAACTACTTATTTGCTTTTGAAATATAATGTATCTTTTCTGGAAGATGAACTAAACTGTTACTGAAGGGGTATATGGCAGTAATGTTTTCTTCTATTTCGCATGCTTTAGTAAATAATACTTCATCATTTGTTTGCTAGTAAATGAGAACCAATTTTTCTTCCAGTATGTTTCAGGTAAAAACAAGGCATAATCTGAGTTACTACTAAAAAATGTTTTTAGCAAAACAGAAGACTGCCGTGCTTCTGAATTAATTCAGTTTGTGTGTAGAAAGGAAAGAATGGTTATGTGAGCATCAGGATTTCAGCAATTCAGTTCAGAAAAAGACTGACATGACTTAAGCGTCTCTGGAATGTTAGGCTCTGCCTTCCCTCTTGAAAGCAGTGCTGCTTATGTATCTTCTCACCACCAATTACCTGTGTTTCCTAGAGGGCTCGTCGCTGCCCTGGGGACCCCAGCAGGGCCAGAGATGCTGTATGGGGAAGGGCCAGGGACACAAACAGCATAAACCTTCTCCTGAAGGAATGCTTGCGGAATAGAGTCTGGAGAAGGACTCCTCCACCTCCAATTGCTATCCTTTTCGCTCACACTGCACATTCTATAAGCAGGGAACCAAAAAAGCCCCATTGGTGCCTAAACATACAAGTAACAATTGCTTGCAGACATTTTATCATAACGTTAACTTTTTCCCCTTTTTCTAAGTTTTTTTCTGGTTTAGATTTACTGGAGAGGAGTATTTGAATACACAAGGCATCCAAGTGATGCCCTCAGGACATGGAAGAATTATGTGGCTCTTATTCCAAACATGCATCTCAAATTGCACTTCCTGAAAAAAATTTTCAAAAGTCAGCAACACTATACCATACACACAGTATTAAATAGAAAAAAAGGTTCCCACTTCCTACATACTGTGACTTTCATAGCGCACTGACTAAAGGCTTAATATACTTAATAAATTCAGTATGTATGTATGTTATTAAAGACTGAGACGGATGCACATTAAGGATTCAATTTTCATTAATACGGTATACTTTTGACCTGGTGAGACAGCTGCCCAGACAGAATTATGGGGCTTATATGCGAGCCTGGGATTTCCAAGGACCATTCAACCCTCCAGATGCTGTAGGATTCCCTGCAACAAAGGGAAGAAGTAAAGGGGAATAGAGAAAAAGAGTAGAGAAGTTAACTTACACAGCAACTGTGAAGTAATAAAGGGACAGAGTTACTAGCAGTTAGAGCTGTTACCTGAAATAGCAGAAGATAGACCTCTGCATTTGCACAAATGCAAATGTGAAATAAAGTTTTAAAAAAAGTACTGTTTGGGCAATGAAGCAGTACGATCAGCCCAATCCTCTCTGTTCATTTACACCCTGTACTCCCTTTTTACATTATTAGGTAATCTGAGAATAAGGTATGAGATAGAGGTAACGCACACAAATGAAATGGAGGATTCTTAATGTTCTGTTACAAACAAACCAAGTGTATTGCACAATATTTGCTTTATAGATATATAAAACGTTTATTAGGAAGTAAAGTGCTCAGTTTTAGAGATCAATACATTCTTGATCATTGTAGAAGACTTGCATAATTAACAGCTTCCTAATAAGACCAAACACTGTACATTACTATGCAAAAACCTTACCTTTGTAATAAGTGACAAATGATATTATAATCTAAAGCTGCAAAATGAAATAATGTTTGTAACATTTCTCAAGTGGCTATGCACTCACTGCAAGGCACATTGTCAACACACACGGGTACCCCATGAAAACTTACTGCACTTCAAGATGAAGTTTGTTATTAAGTAACGACACGTTACAGAAATACACCTCAACAAATACAGCTATGAATGCAAACATTTTCATTTTCATAATAAACATATACTACAAATAACAGATGAACTGCGTGACAAATTTACATTTTGAAAGATACATTTTTACAGGAAACCTATTTAAAACCATAGTGATAGGTGTAGGTTTGCTTGCTTTCCCCCCAGGAAGGCCCTCCCTCACCAACAGATGACCACTAGATCACTTCTGCACACTTCCCAGTCCCTGCTGCCGTAAGCCTCAGCGTGCCACACACTTTACAGGCCACAGGCACAAATGTTAACACAAGGTATTCTTAGTAAAGTTCCAGCTGCTTGCTGGACAACTCAAGTTGGGTCATTTGACCAAAGCAATTGATTTTAAGTTGTCCTGGTTTCGGCTGGGATAGAGTTAATTTTCTTTCAAGTAGCTGGTGTGGTGCTATGTTTTGGGTCTGGTATGAGAGGAATGTTGATGGCCCATTGATGCTTTAGTTGTTGCTAAGTAGTGCTTACACTGGTCAAGGCCTTTTCAGCTTCCCAGGCTCTGCCGGGTGCGGGTGCACAAGAAGCTGAGAGGAAGCACAGCCAGGACAGTTAACCCAACTGGCCAACGGGGTGTTCCATACCATATGATGTCATGCTCAGTATATAAACTAGAAGGCATGGTCCAGGAAGGGGGATTCACGGCTCAGGGGTGGGCTGGGCATCGGTCGGCGGGTGGTGAGCAGTTGCATTGTGCATCTCCTGCTTTGTATATTCTATTGTTGTTGTTGTTATTATTACTACTACTGTTCTACTTTGGTTTTTTTTCAGTTATTAAACTTTTTCTAACACAGTACATATTTTGGATATGGATATAAAGACAAGCCTATGTATATTTAAATTGCTTTGTATTGTATTTTCTATTTTCCTTGCACACCAGCTGGCCATGTGTACAGCTAATGCTTTTTTGGTTTGTTTAAAGTCAGAAATGCCAGTTCAACACAGAAAAGCTTTTCTCAGGAAGGTTTCTAAGGTCCAAAAACTTTCAATCAAGGCAAGACAGCTTAGTCTGAGTGTCTCTCATTTCACACAAATGCCCTAACAGGTGCCATCTGCTGTTTTGGGAAGCTGACGGGGTCTCTTGTGAAAGAGTATGAATTTCTTCCTAGTACCGGACAAAATAACACACAGAAAGGAAAAATACTTCACAAGAATCACAACCTGTTTTCCCACGTCATTCTGTTCTCGAGTAAAAGCTACTAAGAAATTCCCATCTACACACTGAACTTCCTCCTGCTCCACCTTACATTAATTAAGTTTCTGTGCATTTGGTTTCCTGTAAACTTAAAAATAGGGAAAGGCATGAAGTCTATTTAGTTACCAAGTTCTCTGATTAGAGGGAAGGCATTCTGAGTCACTGTACATCCAGACAATGCAGTTGTAAGAACATATGCAAGATGTAAGCTTTGCCTAAGCAGTACTACCACAAGAATGAGGTGCTAACTCCTGGCAACAACTGCTTTTTGAAATAAAAAGCACCCACATAACATATACATGCTACTTATACTTTGTTAAATAGGCATTTTTTCCTCTATATACCCTACTAATAGCCAAGATGTGTTTGATTATGTTGCTTTCCATTTTCCTTTACACCAACTCTAAGTCTTTAAATACAAGACAACTGCCATCTTCAGGAAAAAAGCACATTTGACAACCTCCCTCCTAAACCGGCATTCCACATATAGAAACATGTTGCTAGGCAAAACTGCAAATGCTATGCCTCAATACTTTCTATAGGAAACCAGCGTAACTTCAGTGTTGCATCTCTTTTCAAAAACAAAGCTTCTACGACACTGAAAGCAGAGCAAATGAAATACTAAAAATCAGTGATTATACTACAAACACCTTTCCAAAGGAATCATGTGCTGCACCTCAGCAGAAAAGCATATCCAGAAATATACCTAATAATTTTACAAGCAGTTCTGTTAAATGTAAATACAGACTTCATAGTTGAGACGCAATTAGAACGTAATAGAGCACGAGATCGGATTTTCCCAACTGTCAGCATCTTCTCTGCCCTCCTCCCTGTCACACCCAAGGAAGAGTTAGTGTTTTTCAATTTTATGTGCTTTTAAATAATGTATTTTCTGCAAATATATTTAAATAATATATTTACCTAAGAACCTGTGGAATGTTTATCCCGGGAACACTTAGATCATTAAAACATAGCATTAAAAAATGGGCACTTTGCAACAATGCTGAAAATGATTACGTTAGTTGGGTGTGAAGAGGCAGTTCTCAAATATTACTTTTGAAATGCTAATGAAATGCAAAAACATGTAATGCATACAGTTTCTATTATGGAATAATGTGATTTACAGTTGTACAAACTAAGTGCACTTCCTTCTGTTTATAGAAACGGTATTTCTCAAAAACAGTAAAAAAATGAACATATTAAGTTAATTAAAATGTTATGTTTGATTTTTAAATGCTTTTAAAGGAATTTTTAAAAGAAGATGGCATCAGTTTATTGTCTCATTCATTATAACAGCTGAGACTTTTCAAAGAGATAAAACAGCACTTTTTTTTTTGCTTTGAGTTTCTACCTATTCTTCTGAGTTATTCTTGGTGTACTAACATTTTAAGTTAATTACACCAAGTTAAAAACTTGGTGTTTAAGTGTCAGCTATTATAATGAATGAGACAATAAACTGATGCCATCTTCTTTTAAAAATTGCTTTTAAAAGCATTTAAAAATCATATTTTCCAATAGAAAGCAGAAAACTCACAGCCTTTCATTTGAGTATTTTAGCCACAGCACATTATTTTGTCTGAAGCTTGCTGCCCTCGTGAAAGTGTTCCCCATAATACATGTATGGAAACAAAATTCTGTCCAGGTAGATTTTGTCACACCTGGTTTCCATTCTGCCTCCTGCATTTTCATTTCCAAGGTTGACAGTCTCACTGTTGGTAACTTGAACATGACACATGGCTTACATAGGTCTGAAAATGCCTTATGAAGAGAATATTTACTTTTGCCCACCAGTGAAAATTGTCCTTAGTGGTCTGAGCAGGATGATCACCTCATGCTGGGAAACAGTGTAGTAGTGTATTTGCTGGCTTAATACTGACCGGAAACATTTAGAATCACCTATAAAGTTAATCCTACACATGGATGTTATTCCCCCCATTTCCTCCTCCCCCATCAATACCATCCGACTGGGAGGAAGATGGCCGAGAGTTCCTCGAACGAGACTGGCCATTCAGTCCAAGTGGTGTTCCCAACCGATGGCTCATTTGGGATGCTGCATCATCTGATTCCCATCGCTCCAACTCCTCTCGCACAAGTCGCTCCATTTGTTCTCTGTGGATTTCATTGTCACGACCCAGTCTTTCATCCTAAACAGATTAAAAGACACAAGCTGGAAACACAGCTTCCAAACTTCAGTCTAAGCAAAACCCTATACAAACGTGGGAAATTCTTATACCACTCAAGTATTTCCATAAGCTAGTGGAGAAACACAGCTAGTGCAGTAAATTGTTTTCTTTCCAGTGATGTAACACCCAGGTTGTCACCTTCACTTACGAAAGCACAATTTGTATTAGTTTCTAATATTTAAATCCACCTCTAGAAATGTAAAATATACTGAGGAGAGCACATCCACAAGGAAGCCCCATCTCAAGGATCAAGCAGAATTATTGGCTGGAACAACAGTAACAGCCAGGAACACCATATCTGTGACAAGGCAGCTAGAAGTCTGACCTACATAACCCACCAAGACAGTCCATCTCACCCACCCCTTAACAGCCCTATTCAGGCTGTTCTTGCCCCATCAGGAAGCCAACAGGCTTTAGCATCCACAGAAATAACACGTTTGTCCCACTGGCCACTTTCAAAGGGCCCTCAAGAAAGAGAAGGTGGGAGGGGAGGCAACAGAAGCTAGATAACCCTGCTTCCACCTGCCACACACAATCCCAGAAGCAACATGGGAAAAGAGCAGGCTGTACAGGCCTGCTGGGCTAGATCCCCCAGACTCTAACAGATTAGTCCATAAAAAGCATTGTATTAATCCCAACAGACACCAAGGGATGAACAAGCTGCTTCAGCAACTACCAAACACCACTGCTGTCCAGCTCAGGGGTTTAAATGGTGCTCTGTTGCCTCAGCATGACACAGGCCTGCTATAAGATGGGTTGTCATATCTGAAACTTGCATCATGTCCCTAACATTTCATGTCTTAAACTTCATGTTTTCCTAACACAACACTGAAATCACTTGGCCACTGCCAAAGCACCCACCTCGTCTTTAACACCACTCCCTCAACCCTTCCAAGCCAAGCAGTAGGAAGAAGTGCTAAGAAGAAGTGCTAATAGTAAGCAAGCCATGCAGGTTGTGACCAGACAGGAGAGAGTGAATTTCTTACCTCTGTCACTCCATCTAACAGTCTTCCCAACACATCTCTCCTTTTTAGTTTGGCTCTCTCCATTGCTTCGAGCTTCACAATAACGGCATCGATCTTGGAGACAATACTGCCAATAGAATGCTCCATGCGATCGACCCGCCTCATGAGTCTGAGGGCAACAAGCATGAGCTTCAGTGGCTCTGACATTTCTGAGTCAATATCATTCTACTATGTCAACACACAGAGCAGATAAGGATGACACAGCATTTTAATTCAAGCACGCATCTGACTTTCCACAAATGAGTCCTACTGTCCAGGAAGGGACAAGGTACACAAAAGCAAGAAGATAACACAGGGGTAAAGCAGACGGGGAAAAAAGTACATATTCCACTCTGTTTTCCCTGCTTTTAGGGCAATCTCGTCAAAATTTGTTGGTCCTAGTTACTCAAATTCTTAATTCAGCTAGTGTTGCTATAATGAATGAATACAGAGATCTACCATTTTAGGCAAAATACACACTCACAAATTAACTTAATCTTATTAAAAACAACAGCTGAAGTTCTCACTGAACCTAAAACAACCTCAAGGTTTTACTACTAAAAAAGCCAGAAAAGTCTTCATTATTGTAGCATGACCATTTTTTCTGTCTTTTCAATGACTAGGTTTGAAGGACAGGGGGTTTTTTTGTTGTGGTTTTTTTGTTTGTTTTGATTTGGTTTTGGTTTTCTAATTGATTCCCATGAGCCTCTCTAAAGTAATTCCAGTTCAGATATTACTTGAAAGCTACTAAAAGGAGTGACTTAAGCACCTTAAAAACAAAACATTTACTTTTATGATTAATTTGATTAATATTCAGAGTTATAGGAGAGACTACTATATAAACGAAAGAAGAAAACACACAAGGAAAAAAAGAAAAACAAACACCATGCAGATTCGCCCCCCTCAGAAGCATAAACTTACACTTGGAACTCTTCATAGGAAACCCCACTAGAGCTGCTGCCCCTCCTCCTGGAGCTGTGTCCACTGTCTTCATCCTCATCCTCCTCGGAGTCGTCCACGCTCCGGGGGAAGCTGCGGCTGCTCAGAGGACGTGGCAGAGAGCTCCTATCCAGGTCCAGATCCTCCTTTGTGAAAACACAAGCCACAGAGAGAGATGTACAGACTTTCACCTGTACACAGGGGATGGGGGTGTCAAGGTCAAAGACCTCCTGCCCTCCATCAGTTCCCCCTTGCCTTTTTACAGTTCTGCTCAGACCGCCAGGGATGAGAGCAAATGTGAAGGGAAACAAGAGAATTCTTCTGGGGCAGCAAACCAGCACGGGGAGAAGACAGGCAGACAGCGCTGGTGGCATACCACTCCTAACGCTGAGCTCACCCTCTCTTTCTCCAGGTCATCTCTCATCTGCTGATGTTCATGCTCTGTCAATTCCTGGTCCCCATCCTGGTCATATTTGGTAAATATTGCTTCAATCTCTGCATCTGTGTGCCCCTTCCTGAAAAGGCAGTAAAAACAGTTCCCTTACTTCCCATTTTTCAAATGCTGAATGAACTTCAAGTATTAGAAAAACATCTCACTCTGGACAGACTTTCATCCCCAAGCCAAAGACACGACTGATCTCAGTGCTGCCTATAAATTCACAACACTGATAGCAAAAAGCTCAGCCCTCACCTTTCATTAGTTAATAGCACAAGTCTCCCCTAGACTGCACCCTGCTCCTTCACAAGCATCCCTTTTATACCTCCTTGATTTGTTCCCTTTCCTTGGACTCCTGCCTGTTCACAAACTCCTGCAGTGGCTCTGATAGAAACATTACTGTTCCCTCAAAGGCCTTAGATCTCTGCTTCCTCAGACCCTTTCTCCCCCACAACACAGCAACTCAAGGAGGCTGGGCCCCAGAGCACCAAATCCTTCCTCCGGTGTGGGATGCCACCCCACTGCAGCAACACTAGCCATTGTGCAGACTCCAGGGGCCAGAGCTCAGCAGACCTCCTTAGTTAAGACTTCTCTTCCACCTCAAACTGACCATTCTTTTCCCACTCCTCTCTTCTTCTGCAGTTCCATGCCACAGTTTGAATTTTCCTTTATGCAATGCCTGCAGACCCATATGCAAAGATTGTTTACCTGGACACATCTGTTTGTTTACATAAACCTCCCACCAGATACAGGAAAAGCACATTCTTTGTTACCCACTAACCAAAAGAAAAGTACTCTGCTGTGTTTCCTTTATTCACATTAGCATAGTCTTAGAAGAGAAATTCGCGTCAAAGACTTAACATCGCATGTCTCTGGGGATACTATTCAAGGTAAGAAGCAACAAACTTCCTTACCCTTTTAGATCTTGCCGGAGTTCATCAAAATTTAGTTTTCCCCCACCTTGTCTCAGACTTTCTGAAATGTCATCAACAGTAGTTTTCTTCAATTTAAGTTTGATCATGGCTTTGTTGTAACCCTAAAAGAAAAAGTGAAATTTCATGTTTTACTTGTCATGAAATGTTAACGCTTGATTTCTAATAACAAAAATCAGCTAGTGTATACTATCATTCAGTGTGTTCCAAAAGCTCTGCAAGAATCTGTCTTTTCCTTCAGTTCATCCATCTTTTATTTCAGTGTTTAAATGAGCAATTTACAAATACCTTCGCAGTTAGAGGTAAGGCTTTCATTATTCAATTTGCACTGCAGGTCAGTAGGAATGGAGTATTTTGTCCCAGTAAGACACCTTTGGTAGTAACTGACAGTTAAGTGACAGTTTTAAATAATGCTGACAAAACAGGTACAACTTTCTGCGGTCATTTTCCTTATCTCTCATTCTTCAGTTGTAGGAATGACTTTTTAAAAAAGTCCTCATCCCAACAAAGTAGCACTTTTCATTTTTCTCTGCTCTGTTTTAATAACCAGTTTCCAAGTTTTAAACTCTGAGTTACTGGTCATGTGAGTATACGTTTAGACATTTCTGACCACGGTACAGCACCGCATCCATGCCAGAGCGCATGCACGTGCACATGTTTTTCCCAAACTGGGATTATGGTCAAGCTCTTAACTTTGTATTCAACAACCTTACTGGCAGCTGCCCCTGGGAGCTCCCAACACATTATCCAAGACTTGCCTCATCTTATTGCCTGAAACAAGGTAATTCTGAATTCTGTGGCCTAGCCAAATAGCAGTTTAGCTTCATCAGTTCAATATTTCTGTACGTACCTAGACAGACAAACCCTGTGTCGTATTCAGTAGGCTGATCATTCAATGCAAAGTCTCAGATGACAAAGTCTCAGATGACTAAAATACCTTGTGATGGAAAGTTTTCATTCATTTAATTTACACTTAGCTCAGATTCATTTATTTTAACTAAGAGATGTGTATTTTCATCAGCTGCTGCCAGCTTGACTTTGTACGGTTTATATAGCATTTTATGGAGTATATAGCATTTTATGGAGTAAGTTCAGATGTGAGGAATGAGATGTCAAACAAACAAAATGTTACTTTTACCTTTCTAATAAGGTCAGACAGTTCCATTTCTGCCTTCTGTTGTGCCATATCTGATTTGACTTCGGAGTATGTATCATTGATAATGGCCAAAAACATGTTCTGTTCATGAGAAAAATAAAAAAGCCCACTTAAAAATTTCAACAAGTGTGAGCCCTACTACTCCTATGATCTTCATGTGCAGACCTATACATGAGTTTTTTAAAGAGGGCCAGGAGAAAATGGTACGCTGTTTAAAAAGCACTAACATCAAGAGCTTGAGATATTGAAGTATGATGCACTACAGTATAACAACTTTTAATCAAGACTACTGGTTATTAACATACTGGAGAATTACATTCCAGAGAGGGTTCACACAGCAGTGGCAATATATATATGACGTTAAACAGGCATGGTTTAAGTTTGGCGTTCTACCTGCAAGGCCAAACTTACACAGATAACAACTGTGAATTAATCTATGCAACACAGCTGGCAACAAAAATGCCTGACGAATCAAGTTAACTATTCATCCCATAATAACCAGCACAAACACAAGGTTTTTACCTAGTTACAGCTCTGCTTGCATTTCAGATTAAAAATAAAAACAAAAAAAGCTTAGAATCAGACACTTGGCATGTATGCCACCAACTCTGAAAAGAGTTTGGTCGCTTGTTCAGACAAAAGAGAAAAAATTGGTCTCACTACCCCTGTGCCAAGCATATAATTTACTTGAACCATGCTGTCATTACTTGCTGAACACGGAGTAAATATGATTGAATTGCAAGCTGGACATTCAAGTCCAGAAAGAATTACTCAATTTACTGGCACAGTGAATGTCCCACTCTTATGCAGAAAGGCAGTGTTAACCTCTATCTCCTCATGGACTTAAAAAAATGCTTTCGAAGAACAATCTTCCAGTGCTGTATCTTTATGCATTTTTGCCCTACACCAGAGAAGTAAGAGGTAACTTGACTACTGCCTATTTTGCTTTCAGCTGCCCAACATTAAAAGTTGGTACTTCCTGCCCATCTTCTCTAACTTAGTTTCCAGGTCTCAGACTGGTCTCAAGGAGCTTACAACAACATTTCACTCCAGCCAAATGACAGGACGTGCAGATATTAATAAGCACACAAATTATAGCGAGTATTTTGGATAACCTGCCATGCCTTCACACTCCAGTGATTTTCTGCTACCCCTTAGGAAAAAATATTTCTTTGCCTTGCTGGACACTAGCCTCTGCTCCTCTGGATTTTGTGAGGTGCTTCAAAGCAAATATGAAACCCGCTTCATGTGCTTCTTTGGCCAGAGTGACCCATCCATTATTTTCTGACCAGTCCATCTCAAAGAACACCTAAGATTCTCTGCTTCCTTACTAACAGCCAAGATGAAGTCTTCTCCCACAAGTAACATCTGAATGCCATTTCTCCTCATCTCAAAGAATAATAAAAAGCCTCATTAAGTACAAGGGTCATTAAATAACTCTAAAAGTTATGATGATACAGGACTGCTGTACCGTTTTAAGGTTAGTAAATTCCTCCTTTAATGCTTGCCACCTTATCGATCACCAAAAGACATACAGTTTGGGGAATAATCTGAGGATTTCTTGCTCACATAACAGCTTTTGTCTGGTGATATCATCAGAAACAGAATTGCTATTATTAATGTTAGTACCAAACTAACTGAAAACCACATGCAGGTAGAAGATACTGGGGCTCTTCACTTGTATCAACATAAAAAAAAATGAATTTACTTGGTCTCCTAGGCTTCTGAGAGAGAGGTCTCCTCCTCTATCCCTCCGCTTTTTGTTATATAAATTATTAGTAAGACTGTAATATGGATTCAATACTAGTATTAACAGAGAGCATACAAAAAATGAGTACTCACAATATACTCACTGTTTGAATTTATTTGTCAGATGATCATGTCTACGTACTACCTCTCAGATAAATTGAGCTTCTTATAAGACTGTTTGTCAAAAAGTGTACAGGTAATCTGCACTGGGAAGGTGAGAAAGACAGAGCCCAACTCTGCCCTGGAGAAGGAAAAGAGGATAGAAAAGAGGCCTTTGCAGGCAAACCTGCGTATCTGAAAGCTGCTGCACTGCTGATGAATTAGGCTTTTCTAGCAGACAAGCTGTGTTTTGCATGCATGAACTAGGCTGTTGTAAACACAGCCAGCCACGCATTACAGCACTTTATAAACTAAGAGCCTGTATGGAACATTACAGCTACTTTTCACCAAAAGATACGGGCTTGCTGTGTATGCCAACCAGGCACTATTCCAATTTTAAAAATAAAAAATTCTTTACAATAATAAAAAGATATAAATTAAAAAAACACAATGTGGAGCACTATATGGGAATGACAACAAACACAATGCAAATCTATTTTAAATGAAGAAAAAAAATGAGAGAGTGTAGTGACTGGCCATGTAACAGTCAGGCCCCTACATGGACTGCACACTCACCATTATCAAAAAAAGCCCCAAGTAGCAGTAGGAATCAAAGAACAAGAGATGCAAAAATGGCCACCTACCCACCCCGCATAAACAAAGGCGTACATACCAAAAGAATGAAGAACATAAAGAACACAAATGTAGTGAAATAGATTGGTCCCAAAATTCGATTAGCTTCTTCAACCTCTGTGAAGTTGAAGTCTCCCAAAATGATGCGGAATTGAGTAAATCTTAAAAAACAAAACATATCCAGGAGTTGAAAAAAAACACTTTTGGAGCTGTGCAAGAATTCTCAATCTTTTCTCTATTTTACCCTAACAGTCTGACTGAAGGGCAGCAGAGGTCTGCACTACTGTAATACTTCATCAGGCACTGCAATAGTCAATTCTTCAAGCCCATCTCTAGGCAAAACCAAACTCCCAGTCAGATGCCACACACGCAGAACAAAACTAGGGTGGTTACTTCTAGCTTTCAGTCATAACTGATAATGGGGGCAACAGGAAGCAGAGCAAATCAATGATTACCGTTGCGAAGCTTTAAGACCCACTCCCGTTGCTCTACTATCCCCTCTGCCTCTTGCATACATACAACCCCAACCCTCTTCCTCTAAAGCTGTCTGTACAGTGCCAAGGCTGGAAGAGGCTTGGCACTGTACAGCACAACAAGCATATTTCAAGTTCCTCTGCTTCTCTACAAGAAACTTTTTGCAACACTGCCCCAATGTAAGGGGGCAGGGGAAAATCAATAACTGAACAACCTGGTAGTTACATCTGTTAGAATCAGGTTATGTTGTACCAAATCAATAAAAGAAAAACTGATTAACAACCCTATATTAAGTCCTATCTCTCTCTGGATTCCAGCAGATACTTACAAATTTACTAGTTAGCTGTCTAAGATGGGACTCCGTTTGTGAGTCAACCAACTACACATACTATCAGGAACACAGCGTTATTATGTATACAACATTTCAGTAAGCATTACAAACATAAGTAAGCATATAATCATTCAACTGCTGAAGACAGAGTTATTGCTTTGTTTAGGAATATGACCAACTGTTATAAAAATCATGGCACTTCCACCAACCAAAACCTGCCATTTTTAGCTCACTGATATAGCTATAGTGTATTTTTAATCTCACAGCAAAGACAGTTTTGGAACTAAAAATGTTATAAAAAAATGCATTTGCTACTGAGCTACATCAACAGCGATAAGCCTGCAGCTTATCTGTTTAGATGGACATCATAGGATTTGTTTGGTCTCTGATGAGGCAACCAAATCCATTTACCAATATACTGAGAAATTATTTGCATTTTTTATTCTTGTACTTACATGCAATCCTGGAAAGTGCTGAAGTCATCAATTTGAGTGCCAAAGACAAGATAGGCCAACTGAGCATATGCTAAGAAAATAATAAAAAACATAATGGCAAAGCCAATGACATCTTTGACGCAGCGAGACATGGTGGTGGATAACTGACTCATTGTTCTGTTGAAGTTAACAAATTTGAAAAGCTGTTAAAAGAAAAAAAAAAAACCACACCTGTAAAGACAAGGAAGACAACAGTTTTTTAACACAATTGACCTCCAGCACATGAGGTGTCATACTGAGTTTGACTGGAGACAAAGTCAGTTAATTTACATTTAGAAACACATCACTTCCTAAAAACACTGAGGCTTGAAATGTGAAGAAAATTCTGTGAGAACACCAACTTCTTGTTTGGGTGTGGGGTTTTGTTTGTTTGTTTTTTCACTCATCTATTTGGCACCCTGGCTTCAGAGCAGTGTTACCAAAATTCTATTTTGGTAAAAGCCCATTTTTTTATCTTTATCTTCAATTAAGATGTTAGCTAAGAAGTAGTAAAACATGAGAAAAGAAGCTCTCACAGCTGACTTTGCTCTTGGTTGGACTAGAGACTTCCCGAGGTCCCCTCCAACCTGCATTATTCTGTCACTCTGCAATTTACCATTATTTCTTATAATGAGCCACTTTATTTCTTAAACCATCATGCAAAAATTAGATGCAACTTTGTCTTATAAAACAGTAAGAGATTAGCTAACTTACTTGATAAACCTAAGTATCAGTTTGGAGTATCAGAGTGGAAATTCACTTATCATTGGTCTTGCATTCTCCCCTGTTAGACAGTTTATTAACTAAATGTTCCTCTGCAACTTTATACATACAGAGGACAGGAAAATGGGTATGGACATGAAAAGAAGTATCACTAGAAAGCAGGCAGTAAAACAGAGAAATTGAGTTTAACTAAAGTAATATATCTAGTTTTCAAAAAAATTGGACTAGCTTTACCAACACTTCTAACGATTCAGAAGTTTTGAATAGATAAAATGGGCACAGTTAAATCAGGCTAGGAAAAAGCAAGACCCAGTAAGAATTACTTATCAATTCAGGAATAATAAAAATATTTCTTTACGTGTCTGCTGTGACAAAGCGCTAGCACTGACTACATCTTCTAGACTTAAACAAGGGCTGACTAAACCTGTGGCAAATTACAACCTTGCTTTTAATCTGCAAGAAGCTACCCTTGTGCTCTGACTTTCTCGCACGACCAATTTTAGGAGAAACACGACTAAACCTCAAATAATGTATCACACGAAACTCAGAACACCGCTTACATTCTAATGTTAGAATAAGGATGTGTGTCTTGGAGTTACCTTAATCCAGACAAAAAACACAGTGACTGCAGCAATGTTGTTGAATTGCATTTGCCAATATGCCAAAGGTTCAAAATTGGGGAACGAGTTCTGATCTTCCAGCAGCTTCTTCAGGAGCATATCAACAGTTGATGTCCTATAGATGCTAATTCCTATAGCTATCACAGAGAGCTGAGTACAAAAAAACCATACAAACATACGAAAGGTGATCAGGGTTTTAAAACAACTTGTTTTAGCCACATATGTCAGATAAAGTTAAGATATGAGGAACTTCATGTTATTTATAGCACCACCATAGTGTGAGCTTTAAGCAAAAGCAAATATATTGTTTTCAAGGTGTCCTGACTAAAAGCTAAAGTTTCAAACAGGAAAGTAACAGCTAGGGATTGCACAGAGCCGGGCGGGGGGCGGGAATCACTGATAAAAGCTTCTCGCAGCCCTTCAGGGTCAACCCCACTGGTCACTGATCACATTAGTGCTTAGGGCCAGGCAGTTACGGGGGCTGGAGGGGGCCAGGTTTCACCACCTTTCACTCAGGAGCAATTTAACAGCCCAATAGCTGCTGTTCGAGATAGGATCCCAACTAGAGTTTCTGGACATTATAAGGAAATGAATTTCACAACAAAACTATTAATAGTCCTAGACTACAGACAAATAGCCTGGGAATAAGAAGATTTAGAAATCTTTTCCTTGCCACAGTTGAAGAACAAAATGACGGTGAAGCTCAGAAAAATGAAGCTGTCACAGAGAAGGAAATATAAGGAAAGAAAGATGACAATTCAAAAAGACAAAGGTAAAAAAGAGTAAAGAGCAGAAAGACAGCAGTAGCAAAAAAGGTACTAGTGTTTCTCCGGAGTACAGACTGACCAGTATTGCCCAGAACAAGCAACAGCAGAGAAGCTGTAGTTTTACCATACAGGTAAGGTTCTCGCTTTGACCTCTGCAAATTTGCTTTTTATTAGTGTAAGTGAACACTTCACCGTGTGTATACAGAGTCATAAAGTACATAATCCTAAATTTAAACAATGTCCCTCAGACAAGGTATAAACATAGAATTTGACCCTTTGTGTGAACTGAACTTTACACTCACACTTGAATACACTTCACTGACTGTAACAGCAATAACTGTATCCCCCCACACCATTAAGTATAACAAATGGCATTCAATTCATGTAAACATCCTCAGACATTGTCCTTCATTTACAAAGCACTGTGATGCAAGTATGATTTATCTAGATTACGGCTACTAACTTCAAGACTTAAACCTTTGATTTGTCCAAGCCTGAAGATACAAAACAAGTGTGGGATTGGAATTGTTTCAGCACTGCTGGCTTTGTATACTTTTGGTAAGTACAGCTTTATATAAGTCAAGAGAGAATTATATTATGTAGCTTTAAAGCTCAGATTTTCTGCTACACCAAAATTACTGATGTGCAACACTGTCCACTTAACCAAGAAAGCAGCCCTGACCGCTGCTAGCACTCTACCATTTTGAGACACTTCTTCAAACTTGGTATTAGCTGGTGAGTATTTTAATACCACATTAAATCTCTTTGTGGTTCTTTGCAGACATATTCAAATCCCATTCCCACTCCTCCAAATGCAAATTGCTACTTTTAAAGCTGACGATTTTCTCACTTGAAAGCCACTGCAACAGTCTGTATCAGATATGTAGAAGAGAAATGAGGGCAAGTTTGTTACCTCCCATAATGGTTGTGCCTTTATAGACAAAAACTGTGAAAAAGCATACTGGACAAACACTCTGAACTTTTCACCAGGACGCGAAGGTTGAAATCACCGAAGACAGAACAAGCAAGTTTGCAAAACACACCAACATTACAACACAGACTAAAATTGTCTTATTCAGACTGAATAGCCCAATAGTCTGTAAGTATCCTTCCTAATGATGTCCCTATTCCTTAAACCCACAATAGGAATACTGAGTCATTTACATCTCCCACAAAGTGCATTTCAGAAAGCAATTTTAGCCTTATTATAAAGATTACTTACCACAATGATAAGGATATCAAGGCAATTCCAGAGACTTCTGAAGTAGTGCAGTCTATGAATGTGAATTTCTAAGATCTCTTCCACCATATAATAAAGAACAAAAAGACAAAATGCCATTTCACAGGCTGCCAGGAAAAAATCAAAAGTGGAGATGTAGTGAATCAGCCTCACTGGCTGAAACTGCCAAGATGTAACAAGGCCTCCAGTTGCTGGAAACTCCACTAACAACCTGCATTTAAAAAAAGGCAAAGAAAAAAAAAATTCATTTACAGAGTGTTGACGAAAAGCACTACTAAAAGATACACGGTTTTATTTACATAATTATTTAAATAATGGAAACAGGCAAAAGCCCACATACGATTCAGAGAAGACACTACACAGAATAGAAGGTGTAAACCTGACCGCACTCAATTTTGACTAAAACCCAAAGCATTTAAGGAACAGTGAGAAAACAGACACAGAAAGACCTGTCTTCATCTGCATCTGTTTCATGCTGTCTAAACTAAAGACTGATGTTGTATATCCACGTATTTACTTTAACAAGCCAACTCACTAGAGAAGTCACCTGCAAACTACACCCAAGCCATTGCGGCATCAGGAAAGTCAGAAGCGCCTCCAGATGGTGAGTGCAGCCGCCATATGGAGTCCTACTTCTTTGACAGGGAGGCATGCCACTTCAGTTATCTGCCTCCTTTACACAAAACATACGCTTACCCATGTCCTCAAAACAAAGTAATCAGAAGAAAACCCCAAGTCTACAACCTACACTGTGCAGTTTGAACATTCTCATCGTTCTGTTCATACCTGACAACGCAGAATAGATTGATGTTTGCATTGTATACGGAGAAATCAATGAAAGCTGCTCTGGTCCCTCTGTCCAGCCACAGGTTCTGCTTAAGGCTAGCAATCTGCACAGCTGTCACTTCTCTGGTCCTTGAGAGGTCTTGGTAATAACCAGCCCCACTGTATGTGGCAATCAAGCCCCAGTGGCTGCTCCCATTCAAATCCTTCTCATTGGTATACGTCCAACTAGTTCAGAAGTAAGTGAAACAGAGCACGTTAGTCTTTCCACTTTCAACTTACAATTAACAAAACAGACACCAACAAAACCTGACCAAAAAAACGTATCAGTTACTTAAAGCTGCTTTCATTTAAGAGGTACTTGTAGAAAGTTTTGATGCTTGTACCCTGGAGAAAGAGCTTACAAAGTTCCTTTGACTACACAACAAAATTAACATAGAAAGGTGAGTCACAAGTATATTAAATGGGAAAAGGGAACACATCAATCCTCTCACACAGAATTTCTATCCTCAGGGAAAGAAAGAAAATTGGCATTTACATAGTTATGTTCCACCTCCAAAACCTTTTACAGTTCAACTCACACACCGTCCTCCAAGAGAGGCAGTGCTTTCCCATTTTTAGCCAGGGAAGACAACTGCAGTGAAACCCACTGTAGTAATACAATCTGGAATTACAGAACAGGTGCTCATGAGTTGCAGTGCTGCACTCAGACCACAGCGTGTCTCCCATGCATAACAGCTACCAATGGCACAATGACAGCACCTAAACTCAAGTGGATGAAGAGCACAGTTCACTCCAAGTTTGGCAAGGTTTCTTGATGAGCAGAACTGGCAGCTGCTCTGGATTTACCTGGCTTTACAGACAGAATGTACAGCAAATGCAGAGTTGCCTCTGCCAAGAGACTTACTGTGTCATTCAGCATAACCCAGGTCAGGGGAAAAAAAAAAGAAGAAACGTGTCTACAGGAATACTACGTACGCTGTTCCATTTCGGAGTCCAAAAGGAGCAGTATCTTCATTAGCTACAGAATAGACATCATAGCAGTCTTTGATTTCATCCTTTAAATCTTCAGGTATTGAGCACGAACCATTTCTCACTTTCAGCTGCCGAATGCGAGGCACCCCTAGGAGCAGGTTCTCATAATAAATGAAGCTTTTGTTTTCTGCCATTGTTTTGTTGTTGTACCACATCTCCCAGTAAAGACCATCCAGCAAAGGGCCTTCTGTGAACTGGGGAGGAAGACAGAATTTTAGTTTGCATGTTGCCAGCACTGTTTTTATAGATATCCATTCCGTGGATGTGTTAGAATTGCAGTTGATAATTTTTCTGACATAAGGTCTTACGGTTACCTGTCCTCCAAAGACTTTCTGCAACCTTGCCCTACCCTGCCCCACTAGAATTACCTAGGTTCTAAACTTTCACATATTAAAGGCCTACTTTGTTCCATAGCTTTGACATTGTGCACAGAGATCTTCATACACAACCCCCACCCCATTAGAAAAAAGATCCTGCAAGTTAAATTTACAGGCCATGACAGGACAAGCAAATCACAGCAACAGAGATAAAAAAATTGTTTTTAGATTACCTTCCAGAAGTCATCCATTGTGGACAAAGTTTTGAAATCAGTTTTCTCCATTTTTGATACAGGTGTTTCCAGGAAGAGCTGCGACATAATCCTTGTGTAATAGTACATACTGGAACTCACTGTCCCATAAGTCACTGCAAAAGATTTGGTAAGGAGTGAGAGGTAAAGGCGTGGAGGAAATTGAAGAGGAAAAAAAGAAAAGAAAAAAAGAGTACTTTGCTTGTTTTGAATACATCAGTTTGTATTTGTATAGATTTTCCACTGAAAAGTTTAAGCTTCAGAACAAAACAAAATCCACACCAAGCAGCATTTGTCTGTCAACTGTGATTAAAATACAAAAAGCAGTGAATAGACTGATCAATCAGTTTAAAATACTCAGTTCTCCTTCCCCTATTATTAATGCTTCTACAAAAGCTAACTTCAAGAAAACAAAGGCACAATTTAGCAGCCTGAAGAGAGGCAGCTAGTGCCTTTTTAGGTGACTTGTGCTATCCAAGGCATCCATAGAGAGCTTGCATAGATGGCACAAGACCTCAGGAGAACTATGCCCTGCTTGAGCAGATAATGATGGTCAACCAGGATATCACAGGGCACTGTGAATGACACTAGCTGCCTATGGCTAGACAACGAAACTCCACCCAAGACGTGCCGTGCTTCTAAGAGAATCTCCCCACAGAGAAAAAAATGATTGTGTGTTACTTCTTTTCCTCACACTGGGCCAAGCATTTGGCTGAGGACCACAGAGCATAAATTATAAAATGACATACAAAGCCAAGATGGCTTGAGAGAACAGTCTCTGGCACTAATAGTGTTACTGCCTATAAATACTTAAAACCATTTTATGGCTAAAACTCAGAGAAGCCTGAAAGATTAAGTCTACACTGAACAATCTCCATTAGTTTTGACAATTTTATAAAAATATTTTATCACAGGGAAGAAAATGTGTTTTCTTTAGCAACCGGAGAACAAGTACTATTTTTAATAGACTTCTGCTGTGGCACATGGAATGTATCACATGACTGTGCAATACCTGGATTCTCTCTAAATACGTACTCTCAAAAATACAAAAGTACAAGAAATGCCCGTAGCATTTAGCCTGCACTGGAAAGCGCTCTCCCAGGGCATGCCAAGCCACAGATCAGTCTCTCCCATAGTTATTGCCTACGTGTAAAATTAAAAAGGATAGTACTTGAAAAAAATACTAATGAGTTAGCAATATCTGTAGATATTTAACACACTACACTTTTCCTTTATTCTGTTACCAAAAATCCTTTTCTATAGCAAAACAAATTGTCAACAGCCTGCAGTCAAACTTTTCCCGCTGAAGCCAATTTCAGTTTATTTTAATTCTGGTCCCTCACTGCTACACCTCTCCTGGTGGTACAGCATACCAGCCACAAGCAGTCTCACACTACTTTGTCCATAAACCTGCACCAAGCATTCTTAAAGGTCTCAGGAAGGAGAAAACCCATGATATTTTTGCAGTACAACACCAAACCAGTTGAGTTGACGATATAAAGTTTGGGGGTTTGGGTTTTTTTAGTAATTCTACTCCAGACAAGCAAGGCAGACTTGGTCTCAGAGCCAGTCCACCAATGCAATTTTGCATTTTCTTTTCCACTCCAAGATTCTCTCTCACAAAAAATAAAAACATCACCTTGTCCTATTACAACTGATCATAAACAACAACTTAAGTGTCACTGACATTTCAGGCATTTAGAACAGAACTGCCCACACTAAAAATTGGTGGCTTGAAACATATCGACCTTCCAATGATATATGAACTTAATGCATATACAGATTTTGTTGTTATTCTCCCTAGTAACCAAATAAAACATCTATTTCACAACTCCATAGTAAGTTCTATTTGGCATTGTCTTGCTAATTTTTATGCAAATACATAGAATCATAGAATCAT